ACATTCCCCATGGCTCAGTGAGATTATTCACAGCCATGGTGATTTAAAAGGCTTTTAAAGGGCTACATTTAGTGTCCACTTTGAGTAATGCATACAGCTTATCTGTCAGTCTGGGGTCATTAAATATGGCCACCGCTGACAGAGGGGAGCTCCAGGCATTAATTTATACATGGGTCTCCCTGGTGTGAGCAGAGTTTTAACCTTGCTTGCACCAGACATTCAAACAGGGAATTCACATCTCTCTATTTAAAAAGCTGTATGCAGCACTCACTTTTAAAACTGCATACCACTCATCTGTCAATTTAAGGCCACTACATGTGGCCCCAGCTAAGAGAGGGGCATCATAGGTGTCTCGCGATATCTAGCTCCCTGACATGGGCAACAATATAAACCTGCACACACCTCGTTGCAGTCGCTGGTATTTAAATTCCAATTTAAAGGGAGGTATGCAGTACTCATTTTAGTGCTGCATACAACTCATCTGTCACTCTGGAGCAACTAAATATGGCCCCAGCTGACAGAGGGGTGCCATAGGTATCGATTGATGCTTGAGTCTGACTGGTGTGAGAAGGGATTTAACATTGCTTACACAAAAATATTAGGATGTTCCATGCCGTCCTAATGGTGTTAAAGCTCACTCTGTTGAGGACAGCATGGATTATCCTAACATTGTTAAGAGGCAAAATGAAGCATTTGGTGGTCAACTTCATTCTGATTGGAAGGAAACATGATTTTTTTATTATTCATATTAAATGTAATATTTATTCAGCACTATTAATAATTTATTCCATAGAGGCAATAAAAAAAGTTCACATAAAAAAAAATAAAAAAAACGCGTGACCACTCCAGCATCTAAAGTCCATAGGCTCAAATCCTAGCATGGTGTTTACCTTACTTCTAGGCTGGTTTGTAGTAATCTACTAGGGTCATGCATGATATTGGTGGAAACAAAGCTCCTTCCTTGAGACACTCTATATACATAAACATGACTTTATTAAAATTGTTCACGGAGCATGCACATTTCTTAAAAACTAGGTCAGATATAATATTTCTAGAAGACCAACTTGCATGGAGGAAGCACAGCCTTCCACAACAACAATTGGTCACAATGTCACCAGAACAAGGCCTTTTAAGACCACGTACCACCATTATACTAACAGAATTTAAGATCCTTGGAGCATTACATTCTTTCATGCAGCACCAGATTATATTATTATTATTTTAACATAAAAATCTCTCCGATGATACCACTAGATTGTAAGCTTCTTGGAGCATAGTAGTATCCCAAAATATTGCTAAAAAGTAAGCTTATTAGACAATGGATCTCATCTATTGTAGCTGTAGATTAGGACCTTAATGGTGCATAGAGCTTCTTCCATTATGCCACAAAGCTGCAAGCTTCTTGGAGAATGTTATATTTACGTGATACAATGAAATTGAAAACTGCTTGGAACTTGGAAATCGCCAGTGGTAACTTAAAATTGTAAGCTTGTTGGAGCATAGCATTCTTCATTCATAGCACAGGATTATAAACCCACTGTAGCATGACATTCTTCTACAAAACTGAAAAAACAAATCATGCCCCGCACCGAAAGAAAGCCAAATGAGTTGATTCCTGGTTAGTCTTTTTTATGTAGTATTATCAAAAAAAACAAGTCCTTGCTGATCCTGGACTTTAAATGATCACTACAGGGTCAGGAAGACAAACATGTATTCCTGACCCTATAGTGTTAACGCCACCTTCTAGCCCCCTTGGGCCCCTCATGGCTCCATAAATATAGTAAAAATCTTACTGTATTCAAGCCTGAAGCTGTAAATTAGCATGTTGTTAGACTCAGAAAAACAAGCAGTCTGCTGACATGTGGTAGCCTGATCCAGTGCTTCCCCATAGGATTGGCTGAGACTGACAAAGAGGCAGATCAGGGGCAGAGCCAGCATGATTCAAACACAGCCCTGGCCAATCAGCATCTCCCCATAGAGATGAATTGAATCAATGAATCTCTACGAGGAAAGTTCAGTGTCTGCATGCAGAGGGAGGAGATACTGAATCACAGGATGTTGTGCACAGTGCTGCCCTGTGCTCTGCTGACAGCAGATCTGAGTGGATGGAGGCATATTATGCCTCCATCAACTCCGAAGTCCCTCTGGTTCACTCTGGGTGACTGCAGCTGGAGGTGTTCCTAGCTTTCAATGTAAACACTGTATTTTCTCAGAAAATACAGTGTTTACATGAGATAGGCTGCAGGGAGCTATAGTTCTCACCTGAACATTAAGCTGAAGTTGTTCAGATGACTATAGTGTCCCTTTAAAAGTATTTATACTAATTTGCACTATTTAGCTTGAGGGAGGTCATTGTTTTATATAGTATTCTCTCGTGATAGCGCTAGATCATAAAATCAGTTGATAATGGATATTTTCCAAAGATGATACAGGATCATGAGCTCAAAGGAATGTGGCAACTAATGTCTGATATCAATAGACAATAAGCTCAATTAATGGTAGGAAGGCGTTGGGAGTAGCTACTTGATGTGTCTTCAGGTGATATATGTAATATTACATATATCACCTGAGGACACATCTAGGCTGTACTCCCAACGCCTTCCTACCATTATCTCCTATCTCCTCTGGAAAAGAGAGACTCCGACCTGGGTTGTTTGAGCTGCCACTTTCTACCTACCAGTATTTTTCTAGTGCTGAACCTCTCATTTGTATGCTTTTAATAAACTCAATCAACCCCTTAAGGTCAAAGCTTCAGTAGTAAAAGGCCAGCTAGACTGAATATTTCCATCATGTGTCCTTAAGCAGTTAAGAATGTCTCCTACCGTCTTTCCCCCGAAAAAAAAAAAATAGGGCTTATTTAAAATTTCCAGAACATAGATTAGCGAACTAGAAACTAGGGCTTATTTTTACAAGCATCCCCCGAAAATAAGCTAGTCTTATTTTTGGGAAAAACGATATTGTAACATTGTATTTTATGCTCATTTGCTGCAGAAAGTCCCATCTGATTACCGGATGATATGTTTCTTTTGAGGATCTCCCCATTACTTTATGTTTTGTCCAATACCCGATATGCTTTATTAGATGTTATATATTGAACATTGGATGCACTGGAATAGAGCAGGTGGAATATAAATAAGAATGACCCAGAAATACATATATCACTTTAGCTTGGAAACGGTTAACATGCATCCTTTCCGTCTTGCCTGATATGTTTCTGAAACTCATTATGATTTAACTCTGCAACATGTCATCGGAGATATATGACCATACAGACAATCTTATGATTGAAATTCCATTCAAGTTTGCAAGGACATGATTTATTACTTATTACCACCAATCATGGATCCTATGTTGGATTTCGATTCTTGGATATTTCAGAAAATCTACAGCTCTTCATCTTTTCTTCCAATTTGTAGCCCGTGCAATATATGTATATAAATAGATATTTCTAGTAGAATATGATTATTCATTTTATGTTACAGTGAAAAAATATTTATTGCTTAAGAAATCCCATAAATGCAGCATCTAGATTGGTAAAATTCCTTAGTGTGATCAATGAGTCATGTGTGGCGAAAGCTAAATATGTTTGGTCTCAGCGAATTTATTTGGCAAATACCCAAAAGGGTTATGCTATTATTGCCAAAACAAACCAAAATTAATGATTTTATGAGACATATCAATGAAGTATATAAAGAAAAGGAAGCATAATTTTACACAGTAAATTATTTTTTAGTGAACTTTGAGAATGAAGACTGTCAAGAAGGAGCTATTTTCATTTTTTTTTCTACAGCAGTAGTTTGGACATCCTTTGCTGCTTGGATTTGAATTTTTTTTTTTTTTTATAATAGTTATATAGTTACATAGTTACATAGTTGCATAGTTGAAAAGAGACTTGCGTCCATCAAGTTCAGTCTTCCTCACATACAGTTGCAAGACAAAGTATGTGAACCCTTTGGAATGATATGGATTTCTGCACAAATTGGTCATAAAATGTGATCTGATCATCATCTCAGTCACAACAATAGACAATCACAGTCTGCTTAAACTAATAACACACAAAGAATGAAATGTTGCCATGTTTTTATTGAACACACCATGTAAACATTCACAGTGCAGGTGGAAAAAGTATGTGAACCCCTAGACTAATGACATCTCCAAGAGCTAATTGGAGTGAGATGTCAGCCAACTGGAGTCCAATCAATGAGATGAGATTGGAGGTGTTGGTTACAGCTGCCCTGCCTATAAAAAACACACACCAGTTCTGGGTTTGCTTTTCACAAGAAGCATTGCCTGATGTGAATGATGCCTTGCACAAAAGAGCTCTCAGAAGACCTACGATTAAGAATTGTTGACTTGCATAAAGCTGGAAAGGGTTATAAAAGTATCTCCAAAAGCCTTGCTGTTCATCAGTCCACGGTAAGACAAATTGTCTATAGATGGAGAAAGTTCAGCACTGCTGCTACTCTCCCTAGGAGTGGCCGTCCTGTAAAGATGACTGCAAGAGCACAGCGCAGACTGCTCAATGAGGTGAAGAAGAATCCTAGAGTGTCAGCTAAAGACTTACAAAAGTCACTGGCAAATGCTAACATCCCTGTTAGCGAATCTACAATACGTAAAACACTAAACAAGAATGGATTTCATGGGAGGATACCACAGAGGAAGCTACTGCTGTCCAAACAAAACATTGCTGCACGTTTACAGTTTGCACAAGAGCACCTGGATGTTCCACAGCAGTACTGGCAAAATATTCTGTGGACAGATGAAACCAAAGTTGAGTTGTTTGGAAGAAACACACAACACTATGTGTGGCGAAAAAAAGGCACAGCACAGCACACCAACATCAAAACCTCATCCCAACTGTGAAGTATGGTGGTGGGATCATGGTTTGGGGCTGCTTTGCTGCGTCAGGGCCTGGACGGATTGCTATCATCGAAGGAAAAATAAATTCCCAAGTTTATCAAGACATTTTGCAGGAGAACTTAAGGCCATCTGTCTACCAGCTGAAGCTCAACAGAAGATGGGTGTTGCAACAGGACAATGACTCAAAGCATAGAAGTAAATCAACAACAGAATGGCTTAAACAGAAGAAAATACGCCTTCTGAAGTGGCCCAGTCAGAGTCCTGACCTCAATCCGATTGAGATGCTGTGGCATGACCTCAAGAAAGCGACTCATACCAGACATCCCAAGAATATTGCTGAACTGAAACAGTTCTGTAAAGAGGAATGGTCAAGAATTACTCCTGACCGTTGTGCATATCTGATCTGCAACTATAGGAAACATTTGGTTGAAGTTATTGCTGCCAAAGAAGGTTCAACCAGTTATTAAATCCAAGGGCTCACATACTTTTCCACCTGCACTGTGAATGTTTACATGGTGTGTTCAATAAAAACATGGCAACATTTCATTCTTTGTGTGTTATTAGTTTAAGCAGACTGTGATTGTCTATTGTTGTGACTTAGATGATGATCAGATCACATTTTATGACCAATTTATGCAGAAATCCATATCATTCCAAAGGGTTCACATACTTTTTCTTGCAAATGTATGTTTTTGCTGTTGATCCAAAAGAAGGCAAAAGACCTAGTCTGAAGTACTTCCAATTTTGCAACAAACCAGGAAAAAATTCCTTCCTGACCCCAAAATAGCAGTCAGATGTCTTCTTGGATCAAGCAGCTATTACCCCACTAATTAGAAATTATATCCCTGTATGTTATGTTTTTGCAAGAATGTATCCAATTTTTAAACATCTGTATGGACTCTGATAAAACCACCTCTTCAGGCAGAGAATTCCATATTCTTATTGCTCTTACTGTAAAAAAACAAAAGACTTTTCTTTGCCTTAGATGAAATCTCTTTTCTTCCAGCCTAAATGCATGACCTCGTGTCCTATGTATAGCCCTGTTTATGAAAAGATTTCCAGATAATGGTTGTACTGGCCCCAAATATATTTGAATAATGTTATCATATCCCATCTGAGATTAAAATTTTGTAACCTTTCTTCGTAACTAAAATGCTCTATTCCTTTTATCAATTTTGTAGCTCGTCACTGCACTCTTTCTAGTGCCATGATATCCTTCTTTAGGACAGGTGCCCAAAATTGCACAGCATATTCAAGGTGTGGTCTTACCAGTGATTTATAAAGAGGCAAAATTATATGAGAATTTATGCCCCTATTTGACAAAACCTTACTGGCCTTAGCAACTGCAGATTGACATTGCATATTGCTAACTAATTTGTCTATAACAATTCCCAAATTCCCTATCTAATTTGTTGTCTATAACAATTCCCAATCCTTCTCGTATGTGGTTAGCCCTAATTCACTAAATTGCTTGTGCATTCTTGACCCCGAAGTGCATTTCTCTACATTAAATTTAATCTGCCATTTTAGTGCCCAGTCCCCCAATCTATCCAAATCCCTCTTCAGCAAAGCAATATCCTTCTCACATTATATTAATGTACAAAGTTTTGTGTCATCTGCAAACACTGAAACATGGCTTTCAATGCCTATTTCAAGATCATTTATAAATATGTTAAATAAAACCAATCCCAAAACAGAACCCTGAGGGACATCACTTACCACTTTTGCCCAGCCTGAAAATTTACCAATAATGACAACTCTTTCTACTCTATCCTTAAGCCAATGTTTTTCCTAAGAACAAGAATAATCATCTTGACCAATTTCTTTTAGTTTGAAGACTAACCTATTGTGTGGAGCCGTATCAAATGCCTTGGCAAAATCCAAGTAGATCACACCCACTGTAACACCCTGATCTACAGGTGATACTCGAAAAATTAGAATATCGTGCAAAAGTTCATTTATTTCAGTAATGCTATGTAAAAACGGGAAACTAATATATGAGTAGAGATGAGCGAACCTGAATTGTAAAGTTCGGGTTCGTACTGAACATTACGATTTTTTGACCCCGAACCAGAACACGGACATTTCAGTAACAGTTTGGGTTCGAGTTCGGTGTTCGGTGATTTAATGGCGCATTTTGAAAAGCTGCGGGGCAGCCAATCAACAAGCGTTTGACTTGTGTGCCCTTAGAAGCCATCACAGCCATGCCTACTAATGGCATGGCTGTGATTGGCCTGTGCAGCATGTGACCCAGCCTCTATATAAGCTGGAGTCACGTAGCGCCGCGCGTCACATGAGCTCTTATTAGTGTAGGGAGAGGATGCTGCAGCTGTGAGGGACAGATTAGGAAAGAATTCTGGTGTTGAATCTCCAAACTACAGCGATTATTTTTGTGGGTGCTATACTACATTTTTGTACCCTGCCCTGAGCCCAGTGCCACAGAGAAATAAGCAATCAGTCGGTTTGTTAGGTTGGCGTCGACGGCCATTTTTGCAAGTGCAGTGCACTTGCAACTGTATGTGTGTCAGGCACATTACTTTAATCTTGTTCTGGTAGCTCAGTGGGCAACATCTAGGCATTTTTAAATACTGCTGTGACATTGCAGTTTGACAAATTCACATTTTTATGGTGCTAAAAAGTAAATTTGGGGCATGCACTTCATATCTGAGAGTCAAATAGAGCCGTCAAATGTGGTTACATTGCACTTTTCAAAATTCTAATTTTTTTGGTGCTAAATAGAATATTTGCGGCCTGTGATGCATTTCTTGCAGTCCAATAAAACCCTTTAATACTACTGTTACATTGTTGGTTTAAAAAAATCCCACTTTTTTGTGATAAATAGAACATTTGCGACCTGCGGTGCATTTCTTGCAGTCCAATAAACTCCTTAAATACTACTGTTACATTGCTGGTTTAAAAAAAAATCACACTTGTTTGTGCTAAATAGAACATTTGCAGGTCTGCGGTGCATTTCTTGCAGTCCAATAAAACCGTTAAATACTACTGTTACATTGCTGGTTTTTAAAAATCGCACTTTTTTGTGCTAAATAGAACATTTGCGTCCTCCGGTGCATTTCTTGCAGTCCAATAAAACCCTTAAATACCCCACACCGCGCAGGAGCTGTGGATGGGCATGGCTCAACAGACCGATGAGTGGTTGTTGCCACTGAGCCTCAAGCCCGGCCTGGTGGTGTGCGATAATGGGTGAAATCTCGTGGCACCTCTGGGCCGAGCCGGTTTGATGCACATCCCTTGCCTGGCGTATGTGCTGAATTTGGTTGTGCAGAAATTCCTGAAAAACTACCCAGATATATCAGAGCTGCTGCAGAAAGTGCGGGCCGTCTGTGCCCGCCTTTGGCATTCTCATCCTGCTGCTCGCCTGTCTGCGCTGCAGCGTTACTTCGGCCTTCCCGCCCATCGCCTCATATGCGACGTGCTGGAGAGACTGTGCGAGCAGCAGCAGGCGATAATGGAGTTTCAGCTGCAGCACGCACGGGTCAGTCGCTCTGCGGAACAGCATCACTTCACCACCAATGAGTGGGCCTCCATGCGAGACCTGTGTGCCATGTTGCTCGTTTTCGAGTACTCCACCAACATGGCTAGTGCTGATGACGCTGTTCTCAGCCTTACTATCCCGCTTGTATGTCTCCTTGAAAAAACACTTCTGGTGATGATGGAAGAGGATGTGGCACAGGAGGAAGAGGAGGAGGAAGAGGGGTTATTTCCATGGTTATCAGGCCAGTCATTCACAAGTGGCTCGGAGGGTGGGTTCCTGCACCAGCATGGGCCAGGTACACAATTGTCCAGCCAGGGCACAGTTGTGGAGGATGAGGAGGAGGAGAATGAGGAGGAGGTGGAGGAGGAGAAACTGTGTTCACAGAAGGGTGGCACCCAACGCAGCTCATGGGCATCACTGGAGCGTGGCTGGGGGGATACGGAAAACACAGACGATAAACCTCCCACAGAGGACAGCTTGTCCTTACCTCTGGGCAGCCTGGCACACATGAGCGACTACATGCTGCAGTGTCTGCGCAATGACTGCCGAGTTGCCCACATTCTAACTTGTGTTGATTACTGGGTGGCCACCCTGCTGGATCCCCGTTACAAGGACAACGTGCCGTCCTTAATTCCCTCACCGGAGAGTGATCAGAAGATGCGTGACTACAAGCGCAAACTGGTAGACGCGCTGCTGAGGGCATTCCCAACTGACACTGGGGGCTCAGTGAAATCACAAGGTGAAGGCAGAGGAGGAGGAAGAGGTTGCCAATGCAGCTGGTGCACAGCCAGCACCTCAGAAGGCAGGGTTAGCATGGCCGAAATGTGGAAAAGCTTTGTCAGCATTCCACAACAACCAGCACCATCAGCTGATATGGACTATCTTAGCAGGAGGCAGCATTTCAGCAACATGGTGGAACAGTACGTGTGCCCCATTCAACTTCTGGGTCTCCAAAATGGGCACATGGCCTAAGCATGGCCCTTTATGCCTTGGAGGTGCTGGCCTGCCCTGCAGCCAGTGTATTGTCTGAACGTGTGTTTAGCATGGCAGGGGGCGTTATCACAGACAAGCGCAGCCGCCTGTCCACAGCCAACGTGGACAAGCTCATGTTTATTAAAATGAACCAGACTGGTCTGTACCTTGTCCAGAATAGACATTTATACCGGCCTCACCCAGCCATTGGTATACTGAAGTGCACTTATTCTTTGTGCACTGGCATACATACATACATACACACTGGCATACATAAATACATACAGACAGACACACACACACACTGGCATACATACATATACTGGCATACATACGTACATACATACACACTGGCATACATACATATACTGGCATACATACACACTGTCATACATACATACATACAGACACACATTGGAATACATACATATACTGGCATACATACAGACACATACTCACATACATATATACACACACCTCATTTTCAGCCACCCTCCTCTTCCTTACCATTTCCTAGCAGGCGGGTGGCTTGGGATGATGTGAGTCGGCTGCCTCTCCTCGCGGCCTTCATGCTGTCTCTCCTCCTTCCCATGCGGAGTAAGCTGGGAGGGAGTGACCGGCCGTCACTTCCTCCCAGCAGCACATGCTTTCTGGCTGCTTTTATTTTTTTTAAGGGCCCGGTCGCGCTATTACAGCGCTCATCGGGCCCCTGAAGATAATAGGGCCCATTGGGTGGCCCTAAATGCTTGGGCCACCTGATGGGCCCCATCAGCGTGTGGGCCCCGGTGCAGATGCACCGGCGGTAGTTCTGCTGATTCACGTGGGGCCCGGGCGGCTGGGTCCCCCAGGGCCGCCGGGCCCGTGACAATCGTCATGGTTGTCACTCCCTGATGGCGGCCCTGGTAGGAATCACAATCATAGGGAAGACTGCTGACCAGAAAACCATCATTGA